ACTCCGATCATCGACATTATGAGGGGTTCTTGTGCCTTCCCCGTGGGAGATCACATTGCGCGTGGCTTGTGTTATCCTCATCTAGTGTTTAGTGAGGCTCTTTAGTTAGTCTTTGAGAGCTCACTAATTTTGTGTAGTGACATAGCCTTTGAGTGCTTATAGACAATAGCAACCAGAATTGTGGTAGGTAGCTTGCATTCTTAGTAGGCTAGCGCAATATTCGCTTCGCTTCATATTTGTCTAACCGCTTTGTATAGTGTTGTTGTAAAAAAAATTATAGGCTATTCACCCTCCTCTAGCCATTAGGACCTTTCACACTTTGCCTGCACTATTCTTTTCATGTTGTAGCTTGTATTTTCACGTCATAGGTGTGCAACTTCTCGAGCCATGCTTTGCATAGAAACATAATTTGATGGATGGATATTGTTTTCCTTCGTGGCTGCCCTAACAGCACCATTTGCAATGGCAAATCGTCCATGGGGTGTGCCACCAGAGAGGTCATACAAGACCTTGCCATTCAATTCTTACGCATGCACTTGCCGGCTTTCCTCTTCCACATCCCCTTCCCCTTCCATGTGCTCATGCTCTCCATCCACTTCATTTGGGCATGCAACCCTCCTAACAGCTGACATATAGTCGTTCTAGAAACAATGTTCATACATAAAGTAGTCACTTGCACTATAAAAGGAGAATCTGAAAAGTAAATGGTTTCCATATGTCAAAGTAGAGTGTGCTTACAATGAGCTTTTGTGCTTTCTGACTACTAATTGGACCACTACTTCTAGTGCTATCCACACTTTTGAAACCAGATTTCATCACAGTTGTTGACGGTTATTAACATCAATCATAAATCGTCAACATATCCTGCATATATACTTAATTTTATCACCAAACTTAGGTCTAGAGGTTTAAACTAATAAATTCCACAAGTTTTGGTGAATCTGTGTATGCAGGAGGATTTAATCAGAAAACAAGCAAGGTGGACCCAATCGTCAGATCAAATCACATTTATCCACGATGAAACCGATTTAAGAATACTCTAGAATCATCCAGAAGGCAAACCACCGAAGATCGAGCCAAGAGGCTAACAGGGGGGCTGACCGGCCCCACTACTAGGCCGGTTGGCCTATGGGACCCACATGTTAGGCTCTCCTTCGTATGTCAGTTTCCCACCACCTCCTAGGTTCAATCTATGCCATTGCTCAAGGTTGGTTCGATTCAAAGACTCAAATTTGGCGTTGCCATGGATTCTTGGGCCCATAGGACCCCTGGTTCCCCCTATATAAGGCTCCCCATACCCTCCTCCTATGGCATCCATTGAGAGCCATCTCTCATTCAGATCAAGATACACCACAAGAAAGAAATCTCCACAAAGCTCTCAAGATGTAGAAGTATAATAGCTCTAGTTGAGAGTTAGGGAGAGTTGAGCTATGCTTAGGTTCTGGAGAAATCTTTGAAGGTCAGGTATATCTTTGTATCTTACCTTTGCAAGACTTAAGCTTTAATATAGTTATCTTCTCTATTTACTTTTATGTCTTTCATGTGTATGCGTACCTTAGCATGGGATCTCTCGCTCGCATCGAGTGCTCTAGTTATAGTACATTATTAGAGTAGTAATCGGTAGTATAGCCATGGTGTCTAGACTATAAGTTACCTGAGATTGCACCCAATCCAATGGATAGTTGTGGTAGCCCCAGGTGGTGACAGCCCTGATGGCTAACGTAGTCCACCACGTTTGGGTTTGGGTTTGTAGGACCATAGTCGGAGCTTCCTAGTCCCTTTCTCATCCCTTTCTATGACTAGTGTTCCGATGTCCCAAAGTGTTATTGTATGCGATCGCTATATCTACTCATGCTTTAGTTATACCTTCTAGTCTAAACTAGAATAGAACCAAACTAATAGATAAGTATTTAGGAACCTTGATCTCACCCATTGTACTGCTAGAATAGAACTAAAGTAATAGAGAAGTATTTAGGAACCTTGATCTCACCCGTTGTCCTCTCAATTTAGCTAGACTGCTCATTTATTTTACCTTGGAATTCTCCTATGTGTGTGTCATTATTCATAACTCTTATCGTTATCATCACTTACCCCCACTTCAGTCTAGTCATTAAACTAGTTAGTAGATATATGATGGTGAACTTTCAACTTCTTTAACCATTGTTTCCCTGTGGATAAATATGATACTCTGGAATATTCCCAGGTGAAAGCTACAGCGGTATCCGTGCACTTATGGATTTATCTGTGTGCATTTAAAAATACCAACAACAACAAATGTGTTCATAGGTGTTGCTTTTGCTGGACCGAAGTTCTTTTTGTACAAAGATAGAATAGGTTTTCAATGTAAAGAACAAATGCAGATTTGGCATACAAAAACACAGAACTTACTGACTAGCTGATTTCTAGTAGACATGTAGATTTCTAGTAAAAAACAATTGATTATGACATATAGAAATACAATCAGCACACAATCGGCACCTTGACTACTTAGCATAAGTGGCCAAATAACTATTTTCAGATCATTCATAAGCTAGTAACTCTAGTCAACACCACATGGCCATGCCTATATTTCTAGCATAATATCATAACAAGACACTCATTAGCAAGGGTAGCATACCAAAACTTGTTGTGTCTCCGTAAATGGCCTAGATCCTCCATGATTTTGAGCAATATCTTGTGATTTGAAGTGACATTCCTGTGCTCTCTCTCGTTTTACCTTGAAATCATCTATGCACCAATAAGCACACAGCTTAGGACACACCTGATCATTACACCACTTTAGCCTACCAGCCAAGTATTGTTCATACTACAGCTGTATCGGGCGAGCTTGTGCATCATCAATTGTGTTGCCATTGGGATCCCTATAGTACTCCTTCACACAATCCACATGGGATTGATACATTAGGTCCTTCACCCTTTTCTTCAAATATTTTTCAAGAACATGATCAGCCTCTCCTTGGTCTTCTATACTAACTTCAAACAAGTGTTGCATGTGTACAAGATAAGCTAGATCAACAAAAGCAACTTATTTATGCAAGTTCTACTCCTACCTTGAAAAATAATGTGTTGATGTCGGCACGAAAATGCGTCAACACACGAGCAAGCCGGAAGGGTATGCTCGATGGATCTAGAGATCCGCCTGGCTTCAATGCAGGGATAATCGATCCTGCGTATTCCTCCCGAGACAGGCCAGTTAATTTAACCCTGCAATTGACAAGGAGAGAAAGTTTATTAGTAATTTAAGGTGGAACATGCCGGTCTGTGCCCAGACAGTTCCAAGTGTGCCGCTTCAGGAGCAGCCATACGGGAAGAACAGTTAAATAGCCGATATGCACAGAAATCGACTGTTACGGACTGTAAAGCTCGTGGGTAGCACTTGATTTTATGTTGATAGGTATAGTACACGTATATGTAAATAAGATCATCAGCTAGCTAGATATTACCCGTATAAACCATTGAGCCGATGAATCTAACGAGAAAAGATATAACATGCGAACAAATCGACTATCTAATACAAACGGATCTACAGACGCTCTGAATCTCATCTGTTACCATCAATAGAGAGGTTCGACCAGATCGATGGCAGCTATGATGATAATAAAGACCTAAAACTGAAGAATCCGTAAAACCATCTACACTTTGACAGGCTTTCCTAAAGATATGCTATACGTGAAGGCTCGGATGAATTGGCTAAAATAGTCGATTCGGGTGAAGAGAATTACAACGTGTGAACAATCGACTATTTCACGTGGACAGACCTATGGACTCCTCAGACCTAACCTACTATCTCTAACAGTGGGGTTCGACCGGATCGATGCAGCCATGATAAAGACAACAAATCAAACCTTTAAAGTACATAGATCCATTCACGTTCAACAGAATCATGTAAACATGCTGTAGGCGTTAACGCATAGGCGATCGGCTATTTAGCCGATGCAGACATAGCAAATAGTTAAGGTTGCGCCTAATCAAGAACAGATCTACTAACTAGCACCCTCTGATCTACAGTGCTATTAGTGGGGATCGACCGGATCGTTGCAGCCATAATAGTGAACCGTAGACCAGATTTAACTAACCAGTAAACCTCTCTAAGATCAAAATAGAACAGCCGATAAAACATAACCCGTCGTTTATTGTAAGATGCATCGTGTTGTGACAAAACAAACAACGGGCCCAAAGGATATGAGGCCGATCTAAATCGGTCTCAACCGGGTAGGTTGATATTGCTGCAAACTAATGAAGATAAGAACATCAGCAAGATCGATAACTTAATGAATCTACCAAAGATTGCCACTCTTAGGTAGAGCCGATAACTTGACCTTAATCTAATTCGAGAAGTGAAGGTCGACCTGATCGATGCAGCCGTACTTGAACTAGAAAAGAGTCGATAACTAGCTTATACCAGAGTTGCAGTGGAGGTCGACCGGATTGATGCAGTCGTATGAACAGAAGTATAAGCCATGATGGTACTTACAGACAAGCCGGAGGTCGGTCGGACCGATGCAGCCCTGCTCACTGAAGAACTCGCCGAGATCTACTCTACTCCTACTCCTAAGGGGTGGCCGGAGCCGAAAAATTAAGTAACTTGTATTTGATTGATTGTGTGTCCTTTACAATAGCTGGGGTCCAATATTTATACCCAGAACCTACGCATAAATCCTACTTAAGCACGACTCATTACAATCTTTGGCATAAGAGAAAACATTCCTAATTTAAGATAACTTGGACCCTAATCTTTCCCATTTTGTAGAGTCCAACATGTTTTTTCCTGACGCCAACCGTAGCTTTTATCGTTATCTGCTGGCGCTATCTGTAGAGAGCCGATTATAGTACTGCATTCGAATCAGCTGATACCGACCTTTATGCAATTGATTCCTCGATGACACAATTTTGGGGGCTTTCGAGTTCCTGCAATTCTTCTTCCCAAATTTTGGTGTAAACAGTTGCTTACCCAAAATTCAGAAAGCACACGATCTACACTTGACACTCCCGATTGATTCCTAGGATCTAGAAAAAAAATCTGCCCAGTCCAGTGCTGCACGCTTCCTAATGAGTGCACCATTCTTGTCTCTGTCCTCAACCACACCAGAGTATTCTCTCTTAAGAATGACTCCAAGTTGAGTCGTGTATTTGTAAGGGGCATTCTTGTTGTCATAGTTAACATAGCTAAACTGCCTGTAATCACAAATATTTGTTGTATTGAGGTGTTCAAATATTTATAATAACATGAACCATCAATTAGCAATGTACTCACTCGTCACCACTTGGTTTAAGAGCCACCTTGGTACCTAGCTTAGGTAGTGCTAATTTTGTCTGGAGCCCCGGCTTCCTTCCTCTTTTTTTTAGGTGGCTCTTCTTGGGGAGGAGCACCTCTGGTCCTTTGGGTGGCATCACTAGCAGAGGTTGTACCAGTACCATGAGATGCACTGCCATGGGAGCCACGACTGCTAGTAGCATGATTGGTTCGAACATGACGAATGCAACGAGTCATCTTCACAAAAAGTATAGTAAGTTAGCATAGGAAATAAATAACTAGGACAAAAGTTAAGTATGCACAGGAAATAAATAACCAGTATAGTAAGTCTGAAGCAAAAGGTAAATGGATGAAATGAATAACCAGCAAGTAAACAAACAACAAATAAATTGAAAAAGTGAACAACAAGCTAAAAGTGAATAGTCCACACAGGTAATAATAGTAGATTGAACAATAGAAGAAGTGTCCTGACAACATTTTTGGTTGTCAGACATAACAAACTGCATTACATCACATTGCTTTTACTAGGACTATATATATATTGGAACAAGTTTTTCCAAATTGCAGTTTATGACTAAATCAGAAATCATTTGGATCATAAGTCTCCTCGGCCTCTTCATCCATTGGTTCCTCCTCTTCTTCTGTGCTTGCATACTCTTCCTCAATATCTTCTTCATCATATCCTTCATCTTCAACAATAGCTTTCCCTATCGTTTCTAAGTCTTTTAGGCCAGTTATCTTGTCGGAGCCCAATGAGATTATGGTGTCCAATGCATCCCCCAAATCAATAACAAAGGTACCATCCAATCCTTCCTCTTGATAGACACCATGTATTGGCCCTTCAGAACTCATTGACTCGATATTATCGGTATTTAGGTATACACATCCACGTGGATCAACCTGATACATAACCCACCATGGTGACAGCTCCTTGTTCTTGCATGGGTACGACAAATAGTAAACTTGAGTAACTTGGCTAGCCATCACAAATGGGTCAAAACTTTTTAATCTTGCTGCATGCTTGATCTCTACCAAGCCTAGGTCTTCTATGCTCCTCAATCCATTAGGTGTTGGATCAAACCAGTGGCAATAAAACAAAACCAACTATAGTTTAATACTGCCCTCCCATTTTATCTTTATGATATCTTCTATGACACCATAATACTCAAGAGCGTTATCAAATTCATCATATGAAGTAACACAAACACCACTATTAATGGGTGTTAACCCTGGTCTTACTTTCTCATATTTCTCAGAGCAAAATCTATATCCATTGATATCATAACACCCATACAAGGTAACTTGAGTGCGGAAACCATAAGACATTTGGCACAGCACATTGTGAATGTAACACCTTTGGTGTTACGAGCTCACTTAGCACCTAGGTTAGACCTAAGAGGAATCAGCCAATAAATTTTTGGGTTTTTAAAACACACATGGAATGACGAGGGAGTCTTATATGGTTCACTTTGATGGACTAAACTAAATATCTGAGTTAATTCACTTAGTGCGTAAAAGTATTTAAAAATGTCCGATAACGATTCAAGCAAATAAATGGTGAATGGCTTGTTCTGTTGGATTGAGCATGAAAACAATTTTTGTAAACAAAATAAAATATAACTTGTAATTAGAACTTAAATAAAAATTTAAAGTGCAAGTTAGCAGTTAAAAATGCAACTGTTGATTTGGTGAATGGATGTTGTTCCATGATATTTTTGATGGCTCAAAAATTGAATTGGAAATTAAAATTTGCCCTTTTGTTGAATCGGCGAAAATTCGAAGTTGTGTCGAAAGTACACTTTTGGCGATTTATAAAATGCAAAATAGTTAAATAAAGCCCAGATGTTTTGGTTCTATTGTTTGGTATAAAGTGTGTGCTATTGCGTGAAATGATTGTTGGTGAAATTTGGTAAATTTTTGACCATTTAAAAATTCAACCAAATTCAACTCAAGGCCAATTTTCAAGTTTGAAAATAGTGTGACAATGCTAAATTGGAGTTTAAATTCTGATTAAAATTCTTAAACACTAGTGCCATGTTTTTATTTAGTGATGTGCACCAAGGTGAGCACTCGAAAACCATGTAGGTCGGGGTGGAAATGGGTGTCACGGCGCCCTCGTAGAAATTGACCGAACTTCGCTAGAACGCATTGAACCGTGTCGTTGGCGCTCTGTTCATGAACCGGCGCTTGTAGTGAGCGATCTCAGCCGCTCACCTCAACTACCTCGTCCCGCTCGCTCTAGGCCATTCATCCCACCTACCCAGCTACTGCTGTCGTGTACTGCCTGCTTTCTCCCTCTGCTTTCCCTCTGCTGGCCTCCACTCTACCTCTGGTAGCCAGACAACCAGCACAGATAGCGCATTCATCATCACCCCACTCCCTCCCCAGCTCACCTCCCACTGCTGGCCTCGGGCGAGTCGGCGCACACCATGCCCGCTGCCCCGCAGCACCCTCCAAGGCCGCGCCCGCCGTCGCCCTACCCCCTCGCGAGAGCGCGCGAGTGCGCGTGAGCCCGCATGGCCCCGCGCTGGACCAGCGGCTCCACAGCGTTGCCCAACGGCGCCCGCGCGCGACTCCATCCCTACTCCTCCGCCGCTGCGCAGCCACCGCACCCAGGAGCGCCATCGTCGCTCACGTCTGGACCGCCTCAGGACGCCTCCAGCGAGGCCACAGCCACCCCCCGTTGCGCCTTGGTCGCCCATCGTCGCCTCCTCTGCCACGGCAGCGTGTGGCCGTTGTGTCGAGCTCCGCCTCGGTCCACGCCATGGACAGGCCAGCCCGGTCGTGGCTGCGCACCTCCTCGCACCGCTCCGTCTCTGCTGCCGTGCCCCGTAGTGCCCCCCGCCGCGACAGCACCACCGCCGGCGAGCTGTCCCATCGGCTGGCAGAGTACTTCCCCTGCCCCTGCTCGGCTCGTGAAGAGGAAGAAGGACTCAACCGTGAATAGAAACTCTTACTATGTTCACTTTGCAAAAATGCTAGACTCGTAGATTTATAAATAGGGGCTTAGTTAATTCAGGGAAAGTCCAGGGGTCTTCGAGCATGATGGCCGTTGCGCCTGGGCTCGTCCGCGTTGGGCCGGCCTGTTGGGCCGCTCGCCCTGCGCCTCCGAGGCCGCGACCTGCTCGGTGCCCCGCCTGGGCCGCGTGCGCGCACTGTGCGCCTGGGCCGCGCGTCCGCGTGGGCCGATAAGGTGGCCGCTAGCCCTTTTAGTTTTCTAAAGCAGTTGTTAATTTAGTTTCGGAAATAAACTTGTAAAATCAATATAAATTTGTGTAGTTGTCCAAAAATTATGAAACCAATTTTGTTAAGTTTCGAAAATCATAATCTATATGATAGGGTATTTCATTCGCATAGGTTCTGTATGTTTTTAGGATTGCTCTAATTATTTTAACATACTTAATATCGTTAAGACATAATTTCCGTGATAAATCGTCGATAGTGTTAGCTATAAAAATTTTACAGTAGGTTAGAAGTGTTATCGGGTGTTCTCTGTAATTTTTGTAGCCCAATAATAATTAGTTTACTAGAGTAGTTAATGTGCCCTAGTTTCGAGTATATTAAATCATTAATAAATAAAAAGAGACTTGATTTGGTAAGAATTAGTACTTGGTGATGAAAATGATGCTTGTTTAATGAGGTCATTACTGAGCTAATATATTAGTCATAGGAGCTAGCTTGTTAGTTCGTAGCATGTACTCTGTGTTAAGAGTTGTTGTTGTCTTGTTAATTATATGTTGCATCATTGCATCAATGCATATCATATAGGTACGATAATGGATCAACGGATCAATTGAAGGATAATTGGGAAGCTAAAGATAGTGTAATGGTATTCTCTTCAGGAGATGATGTAATTGGCTTTCTATTTAGATGATGGTGGATGATCTGAAGATACAGATACTAACTTTTTAGTATATATCTTATCCAGACAAGCTCGGGTGTATAACCTCTATTTTTTTACACTTTAAATTATATTTGTACATTAAGGTAACATGAAACTCACTCCGCTATTCGGTACCTGGTACCGAATAGTTATTCGGTACAAGGACCTCCCCTCCCGCTGCCCAGCATTCATATGCCCGCACGCACCCCGCAAGGCCATGACCTCGATCATCCCATGGCCAGTGGCCCATGGGCCATAGACCGTTTTTCTTAAAAAAAGCACACGTAATTTTTTTTCCAAGATTGGTGGACATTAATGATCTGTTTTGGTATGGCTGTGGTGACGTAGATGTAGCAGGTTTTGCCCTTTTTTCCAGTGTTTTGTGCAGGTATTAATACTATAATCAATTGATGGTTGTAGTAATCCTGGATGTTGTGACACCAGAGAAATCCACAAGACCATTAAAATATCTGTTCGGAAGCACAATAATCTCCTTGCAGACAAGCAATTGTTGCCTATGCACTAATAAACCTTTTTACTCACATGCATCTCGAATCACAATAATTGCTGTTATAATCATAGAAACTACTATTGTTTCACAAAACACTGTTTCTAGTGTAACATCGTCTACATATGTAATCCAATGAAATCATATACAGCCGTAAAATCCTTTCCGTACAATCACAAATATTTGCACTATATTGTAGTCACTCCATATGACCATACGAAACCGAGATAGCCATAACAAGCTTCAGGTCCAGGCACCAAAACAGCTCTCTGATTTCTCCAAATACCAAATTACCAACCATCAAGCGTGCTACCTAGCACCTCACAAACAGCCTGAAATTCAAAATAGCTAGACATTTAGTGATAATTTTCAGAGAAGTTTTATAAAAGGGAGATAGTACTCATAAAACATCTTGGCTCTATTTGTAGGAACATGCATTGCAGGAGAATATGTACAAGACTAAATAATCTGCTCCATTTGTCATAACTCACATGGAAATTAGAAAAGCATATGAGATAGAAGAAAGGCAAAAATAAAATCAGACAATCCTTTCAACAACAAAAACTTTCATGTGAAATTAGAGTCAATTGAAAGGAAAGGTTCCATGATATCATACGATTCCTTACTATGCACAATGCACATCGGCCTTCTATAAATAGAAATTCTAAAATAAAAAGAAGCAACTCCAAAAGAATACTTAGCAGGTAACTCAAGTAGATACTTTGGGAGCTGATAAAGTTGCTATGAATAATCATAGAAACCAGATAACTATGATGATAGTTGGGTCA